GAATTATATCTCTGGTCCCAAATATATGCTAGTCTTTCCAGTGTCACCACAGTATGAATTTCCCATCTTTGGTAAGACATCTCGCAGTTCCGGACGGAGCGCTTTTCTCGATGTTGTTGCGTATTTTCTTGATGTTATGCCGTAACAGTACAATGAAGTACATCAGTACTGTACAGTCATACACATGCATTCATTAAGCAACGAGTTTATTTCGGCCAATTGAACAATTGAAAATTAATATATCTTCATGGTGTATATATATATTAGTATGTATATATTTAAAAAACTCATTAATAATTCATAAAGAAAAGACAAAGGAAATCACTAGCATGTCGGTAGTTTTATATCTGATAAAAAATCATGTTAACTTCAGCTTTGATTTTCTCGATTTAGTCAACGTCAAATTAAAAAACGTAAAATTACTTGGCTAACAAACTCATAAGATGGGTCGTTTTTTAAGCCATTTAAAACACTGTCTCGCAGTCCGTGCTTTATCAGACTGATATAAAAGTTAAAACTCTCGGCTGTCGCCTCGAGTTTTATATCTGATAAAGCACTCCTGCTTGTGTTTTAAATAGTACATATATGCAGGGTGTATAAAAAAAGGAGACCCGCTTTAAAAATCAACCACATTGTTAAAATTTGAATGCCTTTTCTATTGCACATATGCTGAACCGTAGTGCGTGAAATATTGATGGGGTGCATATATTAGAAAAAGGAGACCTTTAGAAATTGAAATAACGTTTAAACAAAAGATTGTCTGCTCCTGGGAACAATCTGCCATGCATACTGTACGTAGATCGCATGTTACGCACTCGTGGGCTTAGCAAAGTGCTCCAGTATTCAAATTATAACAATGGTTGATTTCTAAAGGTCTCCTTTTTCTAATATAAGCACTCCATCAATATTTCACGCATCACGGTTTAGCATATGTGCAATTGAAAAGGCATTCAAATTTTAACAATATGCTTGTTGATTTCTAAAGGTCTCCTGTTTTTGGGATTTTTTGAAAAGGGACCTTTCTGTGATATAATATTATTAGAGGGGGATAGCAATGACTGAAGGCCATGTGTGTGGGCAATATACCACGCATGATTGGGGGGGGGGGGTCTGGGGGTGTACTCCCCCAGAAAATTTTTGAAATTTGAATCCCGGAAATGTCATTTCCTGCATTCTGAGCATCCAAATTTGCTCCAAAATTTATGCTAACTATACTTGTATTTGAAATAAATAAAGGAAAAAATGCACAAAAAGTAACTGAAAAAAATAACCATAATTTATCATTACTTATTAGAGGAGGACAGCAATGGTCACGTGTGTTGGGATGTACTCCCGGCTAGCAAATTTTTGAAATTTGAATCTCGGAAATGCCATTGCCTGCATTCTGAGCATCCAAATTTGCTCAAAAATTTATGCTCACTATACTTGTATTTGAAATAAAAGAAGGAAAAAATGCACAAAAAGTAAAAAAGAATATTAACCGTAATTTATCATTACTTATTAGAGGGATAATCCCCAGAAAATTTTTGAAACTTGAGACCCGGAAATGCTATTTCCTGCATTTTGAGCATCCAAAAAATAAAAAATTATTAACAAAAATTTATCATTGTAGAAAAACGTAACAATTTAAATCGATTTTGTTAAACAAGGACAAAGGATAAAGCCTAAAACTTACTTTCCATTTATCTATTTCTTAATCTTCGCTGGTTTGAGCTTAGGAGACGTGAGGAAAAAAGGACTCTTTCCTAAAATGTGATTTCTCGTGGGGCAACAAGGGGACTGGGGGGGGGGCATTTGGTATGTTAAAAAAGGCCCTGCTTATTAACGTAGAACAAATAATTAATTTTGTTTACTTAAAATTTAGTCACAACTCCAAACATCATGTAATCATACAGGAATATTTTTATCGAGACTAAACATCGTCGCCTGAGGATCGCATTGAGCGTGAAACTCGGAGTTGTGACTATATTTTAAGTAACGAAAATTGATTATATATATTACATAAACTATATATATTACATAAACTTTAACTTTGGACATACAAGAGAACGTTACGTTGTGGATATGGTATATATGTATATTGACTACCATAGGAAGCAATTTGAGGGTTTGGAGGGGCTCATTAGTCGGGGGTGATTATTAGATTATTATTCCCTCTCAAACTTTACAGACATTATTTCCCTCAGAAACTGTCTACGGTCCTGTATTTCAAACACTCATTAATAATTCATAAGCTTATTGGCAAATCATGTCAACTATAATACCTGTGATAATATGTCACGTGAAGAGGCTTTATACCTGATAAAAATCATCGATCTTCATTAGTATTCTTTATATTGAAAAGTCCATCCTATTTGGCATCTATTGTAGTCGTGTTTGAAGATATGATAAAACAGTAATCTTACGCGTGTTTTAAATAGTACTTCAAAAACTCATTAATAGTTACTAAAACATGGAACGAGCCACAACGATCCATAGCGAGCCTTAACGATCCACAACGACCTTACAACGAGCCACAACGATCCACAACAAGCCACAACGACTCACAACGATCCACAACAATCCACAACAATCCAACAACAATCCACAAGGAGACACAACGAGGTACCAATGATCCCACAACGATCCAGAACGAGACACAACGTTGACAACGATCCTGGCCACAACAACCCAAAACAACCCATGATAAACCACTGAACTGTACGTAATACGTATACTAGTTACTAGAACATAGAACGAGCCACGACGACCCACAACCTGCCACAACGACCTCATAATGAGCCACAACGGTCCAAAAATGACCCTCAGTTGCAATTTTGCGTGACGATAAATAATATAAGTTTTTGTTTGTGGATCGTTGTGGGTTCATTGTTGTCTCGTTGTATCTCCATAGATACAGGATGTGTATCTCCTTGCGGGTTGTTGTTGGATTGTTGTGGCCGGTTGTGGCTCTTTGTGGGGTCGGTGTGGTGGTTGTGGAGTCGTTGTGGATCGTTCCATGTTTTAGTAACGAAAACACAATGAAATATCATAAGCGTGTCGTATCTTTATATGTGATATAGATTGATTTACATAAACTTTAACTTTGATTTTCAATTCTCGACTTACACAACGTATTTCTTGAAAATTACTTCGTTGAACTAGTCAACTTACTAGGAGGGTGTTTATATGAGCCCTATGAAGGGCTAGCCCTAGCAGTAGGGCTGATTTTCACCGCGTGTTTACATGAGAAAAATCAGCCCTGCTACTGCTAGCGAGCCATATCACATATGCATCCTTTCGCAAGTTGCACTTAATGGCTTCCGTGCAACTAATTTTTATTATGGCGTCCAAAATCATAGTTTGCAGCCGACTAAATTTTGGAATAAAAACCAATCGAATTTGAATATTCGTTTAGAACTACATATTTAAAGCGAAAAAAGCTTTAAAAATGTTTAGTTTGAAATCAATTTGACGGCTTTTTTACTCAGCCCTATACTAGGCCTAGGGCCAGCCCTCCCACCAGATCTCGTCTAGTAGAGATGACCCTCCTCTCATATAAACTCAAAAATTTTTTAAAGGAATGTATTAGGCGGGTGTAGATTTAAAGGCGGACGGACGGCGGACGGCGGACGGCGTGGAATAGTAATGTGTAAGTACTCACATGAATCGATCTTGGCTACGTGTTTAGCCTTTTAGTAAGTAAAACGGGGATTAATTTCTGATTATAAAAAAACAAGTCTGAGCACAATTTAAAGTATGAAAATGACAGCAAGTGAATGTCGTGTAACAGCCAGTGGCAATGGCAGTGTTAGGGCGGTTATATATAGAAGCACCCAAGTCGTTTTTTTGCAATAATTCCAAACGTTTCACGCGAAAGTCGACAAATAGCCTCCTATCATACATATGTATTGAATGCTGATTAAATTAAATTCCATTTCTAAAAATTCAAACAGATGAAAACATATTCATTTCACAGATCTAAGGCTGGTATACTTTAATTAACAATTATTCGCCGAAGGCGAGGTGATTATCGGTGAATAAAAACCGAGACGAAGTCGAGGTTTTTATTCACGATAATCACCGAGCCTGAGGTGAATAATTGTTTTAGTATAATTTCATAGGTGATTATTTGGGAAAAATAAGAAAATACACATTTCTTCGTCATTTAATTGTCAAAAAGACTTCGGCCGCCATTTTGAAAATCGCTTAGGTGATTATCGCGTAATAATCACCTCATCGGCAACCAATCAGCGTGGAGAATTTTCAATAATCACCTATGTAATTATACTAATTTAGGGTATTATAATTAGTTGCGGTAGTAATCATGTGTTTATAAAATGCTCCGCCGTCCGCCATCCGCGGTCCGCCTTTTATCCGTCCGCTCCCATCACTCATGTAGGAATTTAATTAGCTAGAACATTCGATGGTATCATTATGAGTCATTATAGAACATTAATAGGACATTAAGGATTCATTATTAACTATGTCGTTTTGTTGTCTGTAATATCCAGAACGGTGCTCAGCGATCAACAAGCAATAAATAGTGTCCCATAAGGGAATACACAAGAATAGTTATTTCTGTAAGCTATTCATTTCAGCAACACTCTTGAGGTTTAAAATCAGATGAACAAGTCTCAGGACACGTCAAGGCGGTCGGTATAATTAATTTCTATCCTGGTACCTGTATGAGACAAGACAGAAAAACCACACAGGAAAATTAACGAACAATTTTATTCAAATATCCTTGCCTGTTGGAATGCAAGAACCGATAAACAAACAACTGTTGAGCAGTGAAGAACATTTTCCCAGCAACTGGGCAAAGGAAGTTGTACATAGTACTATGAACAGGTGCGTATAATTGTTTTAAAAGAGTTCTAATTCGCAAAATGTTAAAACACGTGGGTCTCTGAGGATATCCCATGTGGTTTGAATTCGTTTTGCTCCTTTGGGATATAAATAACTTTCCATCGTTTTTGTTCATGTCATACGCAGACGATAATTTTTAACCTCATTTTTAGCCCCAAGCGACTAGCACGGATTGAATTCGAAAGACAGCCACCCTCGACCGTACGCAAAAGTAACTTCTTTTCCTTCGTTGTCGCTTTGTATGACACACAAGATAACCTTGTCACCGTGGAGACAGCCAGATTCACAGATTTTCTAAAACAGGTAAGCTATAAAGTATCTCAAAATATTTGTACATTTCATAAAGTATTTTTAGCACTTGAATTGAATTACGGACACGTGCGCGCCCCGGGCATAAATTTGTTGTTTTCGAGGTTGTTTTATTGCAGGTCGACCAGAAGAGCTTCAATGGGCTTCGCTATCAGCTTGGGCTTTCATTCAACACAGGTCTGTATTTTCGATAATTTTACGAAGTGTTAGTACTGACAATACATTTAATTTATTAAGGTTAATAGTAATAACGTAGTATTCGCGTTGGAATGCATTCAAAATATCGCTTTGTTGGCAAATAATGAATATTATCAATATTTACTCTGCATGTATATATTTTATTGCACGTACTTCTGTATTAGTTTTATATAAAGACGTACGTGTTCCGCCTAATGGCTAATGGAAATAAACAGCTTTAATTTAATCTATTAATACAGGTTTTAGATGCGAGCAGTTCTTGGACGTACATTTGGTTGATTCAATCTCAAAAGAGGTATAAACTTATTCTAAATTTAAAATTGAGTTATTTCATTTTCTTTGCAGGCGGATAGCAATAAAGCATTGATTTGTTTGTTTTTCTTGAATGTATCTATATATGGAGTGGGTATATGTACTGGAATATGGGATAGAGATTGCTCAATTAAAGCAATTTTCTCACCATATGTGAATTACTGATAAAAAAATTCTTTGGTACAGTTTGGCATTCAGGATATTGACGACGCCAGGGACGCATAGACGGATTTTCATATTTATTACTGGGGTGGTGCCAGAAATTTTAGGGGGGTGAGCCATGAGCAGGTAACTGAAGCAACACAAAGTGTCATCAAACCCCAGTAAGGTCTATATTCTAGGGGTGGAGCACTAGAGCCGCGAGGGGAGTCTAGAGAGCAGAAACAAAGTACCCCAGGAAACATTTGAAAAAAATCATGATTTCTAGCTTCGAAAGAAAGTTTTTTGAAGTTGTCAATTTGTCATATCAATGGATTTGGCATGTCCGATTATCTGTTGAGACTTGAGAGAGTTAAAGACTTAAAGTTAAATGAACCTGTAAAGTGTAACCCCAATAGGCCAATACACAATATGCTTTTACTTTTATGAAGTCATTGACATAATGACATTGTGTTGTTTGAATCTGAGTACAATATATGACGCAACTCCGATGTAAATAATATCTGGGGCGTAAATATTAAATCTAGGCAAGTCTATTTCCTAAAAGAATTAAAAACTAAAAATAGTGTTCGTAAAAATTCCTAACGTTCCTTGCGTGCAAGCTATTCGCATGACAAGGCACTGCAAACTCTATTCAGGGAAGATAATAGAGTTTAAAAACTTTACAATTGCTCCAATAAACCAGTGAATGCAAGCGAGGAGCAATTAGTTCCAGAGTATTGCACTTGTCTTTTTCTATTTGAGTGTACTCCTACGTTTATTTTGTATCATCAACACTCTGCACGATAGAGGGAACTATTTAATTATTTATTTATTATGCCGAATATTGGGGGGGGGGTTGAAATTTTTTTTGGAGGGGTGGACATTTTGTTTGGGGGGGTTATAGCTAATATTGGGGTGGTAGCACCCCCCTGCACCCCCCAGAAAATCCGTCTATGCAGGGACGTCGATGGTCGAAGTTGCTCAAAGTTACGAGCAAATTTTATTTGACAAATTTCATTTGATCAAATACATTTGATCAAAAGCTAGCATGCTAGCTTTTGTTCAAATGCATTTGTCACAATAAATTTGTCACAAATTTATCATCTACACGAGCAAAATATCTTTGACATATGAAATTTGTCAAATAAAGTTTGCTCGTGTAAACGGGGCTTAAGGTCCTAAACAAATGTGTCAGTCCGGTTAACCGGGCCAGCCCGGCACCTGTACAATCAGCCCCTAAAAGTGTCTGAGCCCAACCCCCTCCCCCTCAATGCCTCAATGGAATATTCATTAACCCATTGAGTGGCAGCACTCTCAATCTTCCTTTGACGAGTAAAATTGTCAGGCATTAGACAGAGTAGCATAACAAAGTAGGGTGTATCAGGGTGCATTCACTGCATTGCCACTTAAAGTCAATTTAACTCATTAAGCGGCAATGCGCCCGAATGCGCCCTGAGATTGGCAAGGGGGTAAGCGGCAATGCGCCCGAATGCGCCCTAACATGACTCCTTAACTTGCGGGCATGATATTTGAGCACGTGTTTATTGGGTTGCCTAGCAACGGATACGAAAATAGAACGTGAAATT